ATATATATATATACATACACACACATATATATATATACATATATACACACATACGTGCGTGTGTACAGTATAGTAGTGTAAGGTGCACTTTGTGTGTGTTTGTACCTCCTCTGCATGTTTTTAACAGATGATATATGTCAGGGCCATAACACTGCTGATGAGCTCGTCTTTGTGCACCTCCTCCATCTCTTCCTAACAACAAATAAAACAGAAAGAAACCTGATTCTCAGAAAACATTGACTTTAATTACTGTTGTCATCACACTTGTAAATAAATCCATAAATCAGACTTTACTTGGCATTCTGAGTTTTTAAATTTATTTATTGCTCGTTGGCTACTACTGTAATTGTTGCCCGCTGGATTCTTAGTTTCTGTGATCATCGTTTTATTTTAGCTTTAATTTTAACCCTAAAATATTCAAATATTATATAACTTTGCAAAATCCACCATCTGTACATTTCCTTCATCCTCTAATCCTTTCTGGGTCACAGGGAGGCGGTGTCCATCTCCAGCAGTGGCTGTATGAGCGGCGGAAGACACCCTGGACAGGTCTCCAGTCCATCAGAGGGACACAGAGACAACTGGACAAGTCTCCGGTCCATCAGAGGGACACAGAGACAAACGGAACAGAACTAGTCTAATAGAGGGACACAGAGACAAACGAGACAAACAATGATTCACCTAGTGGCAAATTCTTCTTCTTTTTTCAGAGTTACTAAAGTACATGCATGTTTTTTGTCTGTGAGAGAAAACCATAGTACGTGGAGAAAAGCCACACATGCACAGGGAGAACATGTACACCACACAGAGAAGCCAGAAGAAGAATCTGCAGCCTTTCTGCACAAAGGTAAACACACCAATGAGTGAGCACGTACATGGTGAATGTTGGTGAACTTAACGAGGCCTTCACAGCAGCACTGTGAGTTTAAACAACCAAAAGAAATCTAAACTCTTTCACAAAACACTTTTAAACCAGGCCTGAGACTCCTTCTTCTTGTCATTGTGGGATTTATGAAAGGACCAAGGCAGCAAGCTGGCAGGCTTGGTTGGTGATTTATGAGCAGTTCAAAAAGTAGTTTGTCCTTGTGCCCATATAACAGTTTTATTTGTCCATATTGGTTTAAAAACCCTTACCGAGTGCTTTACAAGTGTCAAAAAATTTATTATTTATAATCATCTGGGTTCAGCCTACCAACAGTATCGAAAGGCTGTGAAAGGTTGACAGTGGAGGATGTGGAGGTGTCCATCCTGACACGCTAAGGCCTCTTTGTGAGGAAGTTCTTGATCCACAAACCGAGGGGTTCTGAGCTGCAGAGTCTGCAGTTTGTCAGTTTGCAGTGGCTGATGGAGTTGAATGCTGAGCTCGAGTCAACAAACAGCATCCTGACAAGTGTTGACGTTTTCCAGGTGACTGAGTCCAGAGTACAGGGCAATGGAGCTGGGGTTATCTGTGGATCTGCTGGGTTTGTAGGCAAACTGATTTTGGTCAAGGCCAAGTGAAAGGTGAGTTTTGATATGCTGCACTTCATGATGACCGGGGTCAGGGCCGCAGGACGGTGATGGCAGAGGTTTTGAGCAAAAGGTTTAAGGCAGTTGTTGGGCTATGGTTTGCTGCTGCAAGCAGATTGACATATTTCAGCACTCTGCTTGGTTCTCCATCCAGCCCTGGTGTTGACGCAGGACCTACAGAACCTGGTGCTGTTGGAGGATGAGTGGCTGGTCATGCTCCAGTGGTGTCAACAATGTGTCCTCTGCCTGCCTGCAATCCTCAAAGTGAGAGAAGGTGTAGAGCTGACCCAGGAGAGAAGTGTCAGTAGAGCGAGGGATTAGGTGGCATTGTTTGTAATCTGACATGTGAACGACATGCTACATGCAGCGAGGAGTGTTTTCCCTGAAGATGACCTCTGTTCACTTTTTATATCTGGCTTTAGCAGTCTTGATGCCATTATTCAGGTTCAATCTACCCTTTCTGTGGGCGTAAATATCTCGTGACCTCAGTGCTACATCTCTGACCCGGAGCAGTTGGGGACCAGTTGGCAACTCAAAATTGTGAAAAAATGGAATGTTTTTTTTGTTGCAATCTCACTTACCTCTAAGTGTTTGCATATTCAGTGCACATTTGTCTTATCACAAGGGAACTTTTGTGTTTCTCTGTCAGCCTTCGGCTGCAGAGACAGTGGAATTCAGCTGAAGCCAATCGGTGAGCGCGATTCTCATCTCCAAGGCAACGAAGAAGCCCCGAGTTCAAAACAGTTGTCTCATGACAGACGTGGACAGAACAAAGAGCTGCATGCTTTTTAAACTCCAGAACTTTAAGTAAAATCCTGAATTCTACAGAACTTAAACGTCTTAGACTTGCAGAGGACAACTAATTATTCTTCGCTTACTCTTCTGCTTTTATTGTGTACACGACATTGGTTTCATGGTTAAATACATAGGTGTCGCAACCATTATATGTGAAGGGGACATGTCCCCCCCCACATTCAAAAAACGTCCCCCCCCCCCCCACACACACCTACACACATCAGTGTGCCCCCTCCCCAATTACGAATGCTTCTGATGCCCTTGGTTAAATATACAGTATATGTTTTAATCCATTAGCTTCACTTGACCTTTCTCCATTGAAGAAATGAATATTTAATGAACTCATATTTTGTTTCTTATTATTTTTAATCTATCTGTTATTTTCAGTTAAAAATATAACCCTTCCAGCAGTGTTTTACCAAAGCTGATTCAGTATTGTGTGCCAAGGTAAGGTCGGCTCTGAGCATAGTCAACATAGGCGATCGCCTAGGGCACCATCTGCTGGAGGGGGCTCTGCTGCTTCAGCAAAAAAAATAAGTATCCATCCATCCATCCATCCATCCATTCATCCATCCATCCATCCATCCATCCATCCATCCATCCATCCATCAATCCATCCATCCATCCATCCATCCATCCATCCATCCATCCATCCATCCATCCATCCATCCATCCATCCATCCATCCATCCATCCATCCATCAATCAATCAATCAATCCATCCTCTTTACCAGATTCTTCCTTTTCAGGTCGCGGGGGTCACTGGTGCCCATGTCCAGCCATTACTGAGCGAGAGGCAGGGGGACACCCAGTCTCCAGTCCATCACAAGGACACATAGAGACAAATGAGACAAACAACCATTCGCTCTCTCTCTCTCACCTAGGGACAATTTAGAGTTACCAATCAGCCTAACATGCATGCTTTTGGTCTGTGGGAGTACCCGGAGAAAACCCACACATGCACGGAGAGAACATGCAAACTCCACCCACAAAGGCTTCAGACAGGGAGATAATTCTGCAGCAGCTCTAACCACGGCACTCCTGTGTGACTCTCTGTTTCTTTCATTATGAAGAAAAATACAGGAAGAATTTCAAATCGTTGCATTTTTTTTTTTTTTACATTTTACACAACCTTTTCAGAATTCAGTTTCTATCATCATCTCAAGACCCCACACACCTGGTCTGTCAGGAATGCATGATGGGTCCTATGTCCAGCTTTGGGAACCACTGCGTCTGTATGTTTACTTGTGGTAGAATTGAGAGATTTTAGCTTTTATTTGATTTTATTTTTGTACAGGTATAAATGCTAAATGAACTGTACTTGTATAGAGCCCTCTATCTGATCGAGATACTCAAAGTATAGTTCGTCATCTTTTCCGTCTTTTAAACTGTCAAAATGCACTTTTTCTGTTAAAAATTGTAACGAATAACCCCCTGAGCCGCACGGAGACGGCGCTCCGTGACAAACGTCTTTCTAGCTATTTAAAACAACTCGTTCGAACCCGTTTCAGAACCGAGCCGGTCCAAAGAACCGAACCGGACCAGAACAGCGTTTGGAACACAGTTTAAACAGAATAAAGCGTTTCCACAGCTCAAAGCCAGCTTAGTTACACGTAACAGACGTACAATTTCAGCTTACACAAGACTTAATGACACAATTTCAGCTCTTAAAACATTGCCAGCCCAACGCTTAGAACATGCAGCGTTTGCTTGAAAGGCGCAGCTCCAAGCGCGCAGCTCCGGCTGCGTTCAATCACAGCTGATAAACTGTTACTTTTTCAACATGCCAACATTTAAATCAATCTTACACGTTTTTACAGTCATTTATGAGCACGTTAACGGGCCACCAGTTTGTAGTGAGTCACGTGGGTACGTGTCACTAGTTGTAGTATGACAATATATCCCCGTTTATATGCATACTATATTCACGAGTTCTTCATCTTTCTGACTGTAATGTCGTGCATTGAATTTTAACAGAAATGCGAACGAGAGACGTTATTATCTTTGACCCATCAAATGAATGGAGTCATTTATTTTCAGAATCAAAGTTTAACATCAAACATTTACATTAATTTGGCAAAATATGAAAATAATAACAGACAAGTTTCACAAATAATGAACTTCAAATCACTCGGCGGTGATTTGAGGACTTTGCTTCAGATATTTCTAAAAATATCTGTACTGATTTATGAGAGAGAGGTGAGTTTAAGATGAACTGGAGATTTTATCTTACAGAGGAATATGTGAGGGAATTTAATCTGTTTGACCAGAAATTGCACGCTTCGTCAGATCTCAGCTAGTCCACGGTACACTTGGTCGAAGAAGAACTTTACCTTGTTGAAGTTCATCAGCTCAGTAAGAACCCTTCAGACTTTTTCAGCGTCTCCGTTGAGAACTGCTAAAATCCTTGGAGAGTCGTGCGTGGGTCGTTCAAACAGAAATTATAATTCCAAAACGTCTCTGGACCATCTTGAACGCGTTCTGCATCCAAGACTCTGAACTCCTTTCATTCTTTAACTTTCAGCAACTCTTCATTGTCTAAGTCTCTCAGTCTCTTAGACTCTTCAGACTTTTCAAACTCTAACTCTGGAATCTCTTGGAACCGACTGCACTCTGCCAGAACCGGGAAGTCGTCACATTTTAAATGAGTTTACTTCCGAGTTTACTTCAGAGCTTTCTGATTCGTGGATGGACCAGAAAGAGGAGTGGTTTTGTGACGTAAGATGTTATCTAAGCCAAGGTCAGAGAATGAGATTGTTTTAACAACTGACAGAGAGATTATTGCAGAAGAGCAGACTTCGTGGAGTCAACTCTTGGTAATCTTCTGAAAAAGTTTAAACATGACATCTTTCTCGGTAAACATTTTAGTTGACCGAAAACCAACCTTTC